TGTAACTATGTGCGCACCCGTTGATGACGATGATGTTGATGAAGTACTGCAACATACTGCAGTGCATGTCAGATTCTGTCAGTGGTAGTATTGAATCACCTTGTTTGGGGGGGTCAGAGCTACAGAGCTACAGAGCTTGGCACATTGAGCTTGCTTGACCAGGTCCGCTCCATCGCCAAGCCCGCACCATTTCAGGTGTCACGAGTAGATTTGAAGCTTGCGAGACTGATGGATATATACGTGGTCGCGCATCACATTTGTTCCTGACATGGAATGATCGTCATGGTCCCACATCTCCCTTGGAGAAACGCGAGACATTTGGAGAAACGCGAGATATTTGGGTTGAGACTTGCAAACAAAGAAGCTTCTAGGGCCCTAGGGCTCCTGGCATCGCTACTAGAAGCAAGAATGCTACTAGGGGCTCCTGGCCGCACTACTAGGAGCAAGGACGCTACTGATCAAACACCTTTGAGACTTGCCACGTGAGTCATGGACGTTTGGGTCACATCTTGAGCTTCCCCACGCCGCAGCGCCTTGGCAGGGAGCTTTGACAGCGTTGATGATTTCCCAGCTCGGTCCCATTGTGCCTTGGCAACTCGGTGTTAGGAGCCTTGGAGCATTCCATTGGTCAACAGGTTGGTGGTTGGGTGACGTGATCGCCTTGATCGCCCAAAAACTCAAGTCACGAGGTCTTGATCACTCAATCTCCACCTTACTTGCCATGCTTTTCTGCGAATCGCTGATGCAGCAAAAGAACCTTTGGAGGTGTTGGAACGCCGGCTGCGACTCAAAGAGGGCGAGCTTTTCACCAGCATGCTCAACAGGTGCGCCTTTCCCGTTTCTTGCCACCAGGCCCCTTGTGGGGAAGAAAATTAGGAGAGACCAGAGAGGTGAGCCACTTCGCACCGTGCCTATTGTGTTCGGAGCAGAGAGATAGATATCCGATCGCAATGATCACAACAACCTTGTTCCTTTCAATGTTTCACGTGCTTAAATCATTTTGTTTGCTGAAGACACGTTGATAGTTCATCGCGACCGGTTGTGATGTGGCCAACCCATCATCAATGAGTTAGGAGAGAGGTGTGTGCGAGCTGATTCACCGGTGCATGTTGAACACCCAGACATTCTGCTGCCCCCAGCCATTCTGTTGCAGGCCGCCTCATGATTTCAGTGTGTCGGGCTGCCCGGTCGTGAGTTGCAGGTGTTTCCCCATCATTTCATATAATTTCCACTTTTTCATTGCGCTAACTAACATTTGGTACGGCAAGTGAGCCCGTGTAGGGCGGCTCTCTGGAATTCTGAAGCACTCTCCGCATTGGTTACTATTTATTCTAGGACTGGCTCTCGTCAGCGGCAGCGACAGTGAGGCCTATGGGGAGCTCGCGGTTTCAAGGCGTGCGAAGTGATGCATTATGATGCCAAGTTCGCCGGAGCACCCAAGATCTCCCCAGGCAGCTCCGAAGATTGCACTCGTATCCTTGGTGATTTGGCAGGGGTCATAGTGCTTCAACTCTGCAGTTCACATTCGCATGCAAAGTTGAGATGATGAGAACTTGCCAAGTGAACCATGTACGCCAACCCAAGCCTCTGGCTCCTTGCAGTTGTTTATGCTGCATGCCCACTTACTGTACATACTCCTCAGAACACTTTGAATGGAAGTCGTGGATACGAAGAAGGTGAAGTGAGTCAGCTGTTTGCCACTGTGCCCAATTAGCTTTGTAAGGATTCGACCTCCGTCAGCAACGATGAGGGCAGTGTGGATTCGAGCTCGTTTCAGCCCGAGCTTGCGAGCTCACAGACCTCAACGAAGTCACGTGGCATTTGAAGTATACAATATTGGTATGTATTGGTGTTCTTGTTCCAAGCAACATATTCATCATCATTCATCCATGGAGGTGTATCCCTCTTGCCAGACACACCCATACACACCCCACTACCGGCCACCGCGTAGCCCGTTCGCCCCGCGGTTCGCCCGAGGCAAGCGAGTGGCACAGTGCGTCGGATCTTACAGCCGCTCGGGCCTTGGCCCGGCCGGGTCCAAGCGCGGCCCGTGCTTCTTGGATTTGTCAGGTCCGAAGGTGGAAGCTCAACTGGATCAAAGGATTCAGGCAGTTCTGCAGCTCTACTCCAAGAGTTTTTTTTTTTTGGATGATCTTTGTGTAGTGGGCTTTGATTTACATAGGATGTCATCATAGGATATATATATATATTCGGATATATTGTCCCAAACATCGATTTGACATGATTTGACCACACAGTCCCTGCTCACAATATGAATTAGTTTCTGAATGTTTGCAATTATCTTGGTAATAGCTTCAATGCCAGGGCCAGTGCAGCGAGCGCTGGCAGACTTGGACGGCGAATCAGACACCTCGAGCATTGCGAGTGCTTGCTGCTTATGGGAAAGTCGCAGCTTATTCAGTTGCATGGAGCATCCTGAATGTTCAATCAGGGATGGATGTAAGCTTCAGGACAGCTAGCTAGCAGCTAGCTTCAATTCTCAGGATGGCCCTGCCTACCCATCAAATGTAGATGACAGCGATTAAGTCATCACAAGGGTCTGGCATAGCTTAGTGTGGAGTCAGAATCTACATAAAGTATATTGTAAGGGCTCCGCCCGGGTGCCGCCGACCCCTTTTCATCTCGAGGGTTTGGCGGTTGAACCTTGACAACTTCCTGGGATTCAACAGCGAGACTTGGATGGGCTTCACACCAATGCTGGCATTCAACCAGCTGCCGAGAAGAGGGCAAGGCTGCGGTGAGGCTCTGGGGAGCGTTTGAAGCCGAGCCAAAATGCCTAACGTTGCCTTCGGAAGCCCATAAGAAGAGAGGAGGCAGGCTTCGGACAGGCCACAGAGAGGCCGCAAGAGGCCTGCCGGCTGCCGAGA